GGATAAATCGCCGGATATCAACTGCACCGGCGCTTTCCGGGGTCCAAACCGCCGGTGATAAGTGATTTTGGTCCGGCGGTCTAGACCGCCGGAAAACCGCCGGAAAAGCCCTAATACGATCCCCCTCGCCCAGCTCATTTCATTTTCACTCTTTCCTTTCTCTCTCTCGTCGCTCGCCCTATCGTCTCCTCCGCTCGTCCGATCAGCCCCCGATGAAGACTCCGACCCCGACCCATTCGACCGCCGCCGACCCCATTCCGCCTCGTCGCCTCTCCATTCGCACAAACCGAGAGCCACCAACCCTCATTCGTTTGCAAGGTGAACTCTCCACATTCTTCTCTCTTCCTCTTCTTCAATGTTCTTCATATAATCACTTCTCAAATCTCCTTATTCTTCTCAAATAATCATCTCATTTGGTTCAGGTTTCTTAAAGGAATAAGAACATAGATATCTCTTTTTACCGGCGGTTTATAGACCGTCGGTAATACCGACGGTGTATCGTAGCTAAGCCGCCGATTTGACCGTCATTAGAGTTCGACGGCTTAACCGCCGGCATAGCCGTCGGTAATACCGACGGTATATAAACCGCCGGTGAAAACCGCCGGTTTTTGCCATTTTTCCTGTAGTGTTTCTCTCCAAAAGTTCATCCATTAGTGCTGAAGTATGCCCTCTATGGCACCATCTAAGTTTCAAACTTTAAACTAGACCTTCTGTGGAAAGAAATTATTCCTTCCGAGAAAGTCATCCAATTTTTTTTTCCTTAAGGACAAAAATAAGTCATTGTCCTTTCTTTCCTTAGGATTAAATCCACTAGTGATAGAACACGCCCTCTATGGCACTGTCATAATTTTAAACTTCAAAACTGATCATCTGTGGGAAGCAATGCTTCCTTCCTACTCGATCATCTAGTTTTCTTTTCATTAAGGTTATCGTGCTTTCTTACCTTAGGATTAGACATCATAGTGATGGATAACGCCCTCAGTGATACCATCCTAGTTTCAAATTTTAAATATGGTCTTTTGTGGGAAGCAATGCATCCTTCCCATAGGATCTTCTAGTTTTCTCTTCCTTAAGGACAGATGTGAGACATCATGCTTTCTCTCTTTCGGATTAGACATCCTAGTGGTTGATAATGCCCTAAGTGGCACTATCCTAGTCTCAAATTCAAACTCCAAATTCAAGTTTTATTTTCCTTGTATTTTAAGTATTCCTTTCCCTTTGGACAAATCTATTAGTGGCAGAGCACACCTTTTGTAGCATCGCCCTAGTTTCAATTTCAAACTCTAATATTCAAGCTTTCTCTTACTTTTGGTTAGATGTGAGTCATTATGTTTCATTTTTTCCTTAGGATTAGATATGCTAGTGGTGGATAACACCCTCAGTGGAAACATCCTAGCTCCAATTTCAAACTCCACAATCCAACCTTCTCTTCCTTAATGATATTATTCATTGCTTATTAATGATTTAATATAGCTTATTATTGATTGTTGATCTGTTATCAATTGTTTTTGCTAATCGAATGTGTGGCATATGATGAGATGTCTTTCATAATAAAGAC